GGAAGCAGAGAACTGTTGAGGCAGGCCCATCCTAAAACAAACAAATGGTTTTCTTAGGAATAAACATCCTCATCATCACGTTGAGGGCTTTTGCAGTTCTTTGAGGCAGGTCTAAATTCTGTGTAAGCACTAATTTTTTATGTTTAGTTTGTTTTTATAGAAGTGGTTGCTTGTTATGAAAAACAAAAGTAGAAATAAAGGGGGAAGTTGCCTTAAAGACAGCTATGTTTAATGTGTTGGTATATTTCCTTGTGTGCTTTTCATTTATTTACTTTAAACTTATAAATATTCTCTGCTTAAAACATTATAAGTCATTCTTCATTGATGAAATGGTTTTTGAATACCTGAGCTACAGGAAATGTTAAAAAAGAAAAGGTCAGCTGCAGTTTCTTTGGACAGCTTTTATATAGGTCATCAAATTATTCCCCAAATACGTTTCTAAATGTTAAAGATACAGTTTGGTGTGGGTTTTTTTTGATGACTCTAAAAAACTGAAATATAATTCAGATACCATAAGATTTACCCTGTTAAAATAATACAGTTTATTGGCTTTTGATATATTCATGAGGTTGTGCAACCATTATCACTATCTGCTTCCAGAGCTCCAAAAAGAAACCCTGTACTCATTTTAACAGTCATTCCCCATTCTTACTCTACCCTCACCACCAGTCTACTTTCTGTCTCTGTGGATTTGCCTCTACTGGACATTTCATATAAAGAGAATCTTATAACATGTGGCCTGTGGTGTCTGGCTTCTTTCACTTAGGATAGTGTTTTCAAGGTTCATCCGTGTTGTAGCATGTATCAATACTTCATTCCTTTATTTTAATTTTTTAATGTGTATTTATTTTTGAGAGAGAGAGACAGAGCATGAGTAGGGGAGGAGCAGAGAGAAAGGGAGATGGAGAATCCAAAGCAGGCTGCAGGCTCTGAGCTGTCAGCACAGAGCCCAACGCGGGGCTCGAACCCAACGAGCCATGAGATCATGACCTGAGCCGAAGTTGGATGTTTACCTGCCTGAGCCACCCAGGTGTCTCAGTACTTTATTCCTTTTTATGGCTGAGTAATATTCCATCATATGGACATTTTGTTTATTCTTTCATCAGTTGATGGATATTTGGGTTGGTTCTACCTTTTAGCTATTACAAATACTGCTGCTATGAACATTTGTGTACAAGTTTTTATGTGAGCATATCTTTTCAGTTCTCTCATATACACCTGGGAGTGGAAGTTCTGGGTCATATGGCAACTCTCTCTTTTTTAAAGTAATTTATTAAAGTGAAATTCAAATAAAAAATTAACCATTTAAAATTTTTTTTTCAACGTTTATTTATTTTTTTGGGACAGAGAGAGACAGAGCATGAACGGGGGAGGGGCAGAGAGAGAGGGAGACACAGAATCGGAAACAGGCTCCAGGCTCTGAGCCATCAGCCCAGAGCCCGACGCGGGGCTCGAACTCCCGGACCGCGAGATCGTGACCTGGCTGAAGTCGGACGCTTAACCGACTGCGCCACCCACGCGCCCCAAAAATTAACCATTTTAAAGTAAACAGTTCATTGACATTTAGTAGATTGGTAATGTTGCATAACCACACCTCTGTCTAGTTTCAAAATATTTCAATCACTCTGAAGTAAAACCTCTCACCCTGAACAGTTTCTCCCCATTTCCCAGCCCTGGCAACCACCAACTCTGTGTTCCATCTCTATGGATTTTTCTATTTGGGAAATTTTGTATAAATGGAACCACAGAATATATGTCTGGCCTCTTTCACTTAGTGTATTCTGGAGGTTCACCTTTGTTGTAGCAAATATCAGTACTTTATTCCTTTTTATGGGTAAGTAATAGTCCAACTTTTTGAGGAATGGCCAAACTGTTTTCTAAAGTGGCTGTACTATTTTACATCCCCGCCAGCAATGTATGAAGGTTCCAGTTTTTCTACATCTCTGCCAACACTTGTTATTGGCCATTTTTTGTTGTTGTTGTTTTTTAATGGCCATCTTAATGTGAGTGTAAAATGGTGTTTCATTTGTTTTTGATTTGCATTTCCTTGATTGCTAATGATGTTGAACATCTTTTTATGTGCTTATTGGCCATTTGTATATTTTCATTGGAGAAATGTCTGTGCAGATTCTTTGTCAATTTTTTAATTGGGTTACCTGTCCTTTTATTATTGAGTTATAAAAGATATTAAGTATTTTGAATAGTAGACCCCTATCACACATATTATTTGCAGGTATTTTCTCCCATTTTGTAAGTTGTCTTTTCACTTTCTTGATAATATTCTTTGAAACACAAATGTTTTTAATTTTGATGAAGTCCAATTTATTTTTTCTTTGATTGCTTGTGCTTTAAATATCATTGTCTAACCTGGTGGTCACAAATATTTATCCCTATGTTTTCTTCTAAGAATTTTACAGTTTCAGCTCTTACATTTAGGTTTTTTATCCATTTTGAATAAGTTTTTATATATGGTGTGAGGTTGGGGGTCCAACCTCATTTTTTGTATGTTGTCCCAGCACTATTTGTTAAAACAACTATTCTTTCCCCTGTTGAATTGTCTTGGCACTCTTGTTGAAAATCAATTGACCACAGATACATGGATTTATTTCTGGACTCTCAGTTTTGTTCTGTTGATCTATATGCCTAGTCTTACTCTAGTAGCACAAAGTCTTTATTATTGTAGCTTTGTTTAATAAGTTTTGACAGCTATCGTTTGAAGCATTTTTAATTGTTTGTTGAGTGTTTTTATTCTTAACCTGTTAGTTGAGATAAAAAAGTTGTATGTCTTTTTTTAAAAGAAAAGTTGCATTTTTAAAGAATTATACATTTACTTTATTAGCTCTTTGCATGCACAGTGTAGCTAGTCTATTAATACTTATTTTTTTAGGTCTGAAACTAAACTTTGCTTTCACCGTTGAAGAAGCCAAGGTCTAGAGGTAAAATAGTCACCTACTGGCACATAGTTGGCATTGAATAAATAATCGTTGATTTAAACAGTTTAGTTGTTAGTAGTTATTAATTTGCTTTGCTGACAATCGTTTGCTTCTATCTCTGACTTATATGATACTAAATCTTCATGGCCTATCTGCCAGTTATGTTGCTTACATCACGAAGGGGGTATTTTATAATAATTTATTTTGTGACATCTCTAGGAATGTATTGAGGCAAAACCTTGTGATTTGATGAGTAAATTACCCCTTGAGTGTAAGGGGTAAAGGTTTTAAAGAGTGTACATGGTAAGTAATTTTACGATGCCATTTAGCTACATATAAGAGAAGTTCAGCTATAATGATTTAACCGTGTAAGGTTTTATTTTTCTCATGGAATAAGGAGACCAGAGGCAGCAGTCTGTATGATGGTACTGTGTGATTCCAGGTCTGTGTAGACTTCCGCCATTCTTGTGTGTGGCTTTCTTCTCCACGGAGGCTCATACAATAGTTGCTGAACCTCCAGTCATTATATCCCATTCCAGGCAGAAAGGGTATGGTGAGAGAGGTGCAAAAGGCACGTGCCCAATGCTCCTGTCTTTTTTTTTTTTAATTTTTTTTTTTAACGTTTATTTATTT